CACCGGTTCGCGCAGGCCGCGCCTCCGCCCGCTCGGTCCCGCCCCCTCCCGGCCAGGTTACCCGTGGACCCGGCGCTCGCAGCCGGTGCTTCTCCCGGACGCCGTTCCGCGAGGCTCGGCGGCGGGACCGGAGGCGGCCGCCATTTGCCGCGGGACCCCAGGATGGCCCCCAAACTCTCAGACTCTGCGGAGCGGCTGCGCGCCGCCGGCAACCAGAGCTTCCGCAACGGCCAGTTCTCCGAGGCCGCCTCGCTCTACAGCCGCGCGCTGCGGGTGATGCAGGAGCAAGGTACACGCTGGCCCCGCTTCCTCCGCCAGGGCTGCTGCTCGCCCGGCCCCCCGACCCCCGCTACCCAGAGCCCGCTCCGTCCCTGCCGCCCTGGGGCTTCCATTCCCCGAGGCCGACCGCCCACCAGCCCCGGCCCGTTCCCCGCGTGGGCGTCCTGCGAGAAACTTCCTTGGCCCTTCCTTCCGCCTCGGGGGGAAAAAGTCACGTGGTTTTATTACTGGTTCTTTTCCACTTGATGACAGGTCAGAAACATATTTTCATAGTAATAGGTTCTTTTACCACTTTTTGGTTATGGTAAAAACATCAAGTTTACCATCTTAGTTACTTTTAAGAATACTGTGAAGTGTAATATTATTCACATCGTTGTGCAACAGATCGCCAGGACTTTCTCATCTTGCAGCACCGAAACTCAATACCCACTGAACACTAATCCCCCTCCCTCAGCCCTTGGTATACCTTTCCACTTTCTGTATCTATGATTTTAACTACTTCAGATATTTGAAAAAGTGAGATCATACGGTATTTGTCTTTTAGGAGGAGATACTAGTACTCATTTCCCTTAGCATAACGTCCTCAAGGACATTATAATCCATTTGTAGCCTGTGGCAGGATTTCCTTCTTTTTTTGAAGCTACATAATATTCCATTGTAAGGCTATCCCACTTTTTTGTTTGTTTGTTTGAATCTCCAAGATCCTGCTTTGAATTCTTTTGCATATATACCCAGAAGTGAGATTGCTGGATCACATATAGTAGTTTTGTTTTCCATACTTGCTGCACCATTTACATTCCCATCAACAGTGCGTAATGGTTCCAACTCCTCAGCATCCTACCAGCACTTCTTTTCTGTTCTTTGATGATAGTGGCCATCTTGATAGGTATGAGTTGTCTGCTTTTTAAGTGTCCTATTGGCTCCCATCCTGTTATTCAGGCCTCATTCCGACCCCTGCAGATATATAGCTCAACTCTCCTCCTTCACCATTTATTCTTCAATTATATTCTTACTTGTTGAGCACCTGTATGTACTGAGTGTCTAACAAGACAGACAAGGCCCTTTCTCTCAACCATCATACATTCCTGTTTTGGGGGGAGGGGTGGATCGCAAGCTAGTAAATAAGACTTGTCCAATAACAATTAGGGGTATGTAGAAGACAAATATGGTATGTGATAGAGTTGAGAAGGGCGCCCCATTAGAATGGGGGGTCAAGGACAGCTTTGAAGAGGTGACATTTGAGGTGACGTCTGAAGGATGAGAAGAAGCCAGGTGCAAAGTTTTGGGTGCTGAGCATTTCAGGTGGAGGGAACTGTAATTACAGGCATACACCGTCTTATTGTATTTCACAGATGTTGTGATTTTTTACAAGTGGAAGACAAGATCCTCCACCAACAAAAAGATTACTCCTTGCTTTATTGTGGTGGTCTGGAGCTGAACCCACAATATCGCTGAGGTATGCCTGTACAAAGGCACCTAGGCGAAGAAGCATGGTGTGTGTCCCAGGAGCCAAAGCCTACTGAGCTGGTGGAGGGAGAAGTAAGGTGAGGTCAGTTGGACAGGCAGAACCTTATTGTGTAGACATTTTACGCAATAGGTCATGGTAAGGAGTTTGGGTTTTATTCAGAGAGTTTTAAACAGAGGAGTAGCATATTCTTATGAGTTCTCCCAGACTCCAGCTCATGTCAACAGCCCTTTGCCCAAAACCTCTTCTCCCAAGTGTCTTACCGAGGAGCCCTCATTGGAATCCCTTTTCCGTAGCACCGATTTCCCTTTGCCTTTTCTCTTTCTCATTTTGTTGGCTAGCATTGTTGAGTGATTTACTGTGTGGTAGACATTGTAGACATTATCCCTTTCTATCTTTATACTAACCTATGACTAAGACACTTTATATTCTTCCTCGGCACCTCCTATGGAGGTTACAGCCATCTCCTACTCCGCACAGACCCCCTGTGAAACCCAAGACAGTCAAAAAGAGGATCAAGAAGTTAATCCGACACCAGTCAGGCCAGTTATGTCAAAATTAAGCAGAACTGGCAGAAACCCAGAGGCACTAATGGACAATAGAGTGTGCAGAAGGTTCAAGGGCCGGACCTTGATGCCCAGCATTGGTTATGGAAGCAACAAGAAATCAAAGCACGTGCTGCCCAGTGGATTTTGGAATTTCTGGTCCACAATGTCAAGGAGCTTGAAGTGCTGCTGATGTGCAACAAATCTTACTGCTCTGAGATCGCTCACAACGTCTCCTCAAAGAACCGTAAACCCATTGTGGGAAAGCAGCCCAGCTGCCAGTCCCCATGCCAGACTGCTCAGCAAAGAAAATGGATAGACAGATGTGTACACATTGTATTTGTGTTAATAAAACCATACAATTCTGCCATCTGGCAATTAAAAAAAAAGACACTTTATAGATGAGGAGCCCAGAAGAGTGAAATTGCCTGCCCTGGGATTATACAATGAAGACATGTCATAGGCAGGATTTTAATATGGGTCTATCTGATTCCCAAGTCCCAAGTTTTTAATCATTTTGCTAGACTTCTCCCCAAATCCTTTGCAAATTGTAGTCTTTTTTGTTTGAACTTTTGCAGTTTCAAACCACTCTTGCCCCCTTCTTTTGTTCTAGAACACTCCTTTTTAGGCCCACCTACTCCTCTCAGCCTCACTTGAGGTCGCTGAATAATCTGAGATATTGATACTTCTGCCATTTTCTTTCATCCTACCCTACCCTGCCTGGAATAGCATGTGCTTTTGTATGGCTTTATTCTGTGTCCCTAGAAGAGCTGGCATGGTATCTAGATTTAGTAGGGGATCAGAGTCTGGTTCTTACCCATTTCTAGATAATCTATGGGCAAATCCCTTGATTTCTCTAATTAGTTTTTCTGTTTGAAAAGAAAACCAGGGGCCCTAACCGGTTTGGCTCAGTGGATAGAGCGTCAGCCTGCGGACTCAAGAGTCCCAGGTTCGATTCCGTCAAGGGCATGTACCTTGGTTGCGGGCACATCCCCAGTAGGGGGTGTGCAGGAGGCCCCTGATTGATGTTTCTCTCTCATTGATGTTTCTAACTATCCCTCCCTTCATTTCTGTAAAAATATCAATAAAATATATTAAAAAAAAAAAAAAGAAAACCAGGGATCAACCTAACACAGTGAACCCTTGCAGCAAGTGTGTGAAGTGATATCTTCATGTGATAGGTGAGCACATATCAGAGGGAGTGAGTGACTTGTGCAGTATCACAGGCTGGATTGCAGGTTCTGATGCCCTTGCCACCACACCACTGCTGCTTCTGAGCACCCATGTTCTGGGGACTTGAGATGGATTACAGGTCTTGAGTGCTTGTACGTGCTCCTTAAGGGCAAGGATATATTTTACTTATCTCAGTACATTGCTGTCTCATTCAGGGTCTGGAAAAATAAGAAAAAAAGTTATTTGTTATTGTTGGTATTAAGTGGAAGATATGCATCAATATGGTAACATACTTAGAGAAAAAAGCAAGTTGCATAAGGATAGACAATAGAGTGCCACTTAGGAAAAGCTTTGAAAGATATAAAATATCTTAGCTGTGATTACATATGTAATAAAGATAGACAAACATGGATGAGAATGTTACATACCAACTTCAGGATTGTGCTGACATCTGGGGTTCTGGGGACAGAACAAAGGGGAAAGCATGGGGATGAGTGGAGCGTTAGCCATATAAAAAATTTTTAAAGGTTGGAAACATATGCTGGATCTAGTGATGGATACCGAGTATCTGTTATACTGTTTTCTGTATGTTTTACAATTTTTAAAAGAGAACTTGTTTTCAATTATTTTGGGTATATACCTGGGAGTGGAATTACTGGGTCTTCACATAATAGTTTCCTTTTTATTTTTTTTTTTCACTTCGGCCCATGCTAGTTAGTGGGTATGCAGTGGTTGAAAAAATACTTTTAAAACTGAAAATTATTGTGGCCACAATAAAGGACATGAGCTTCTGAGATTCCTGAAGGTGAGGACTGCCCGTAGAGAAATGTCTGATAAATCTCCTCCCCACTGGGGAGCTTGAGTCCTTCCCCGATTAAGTTCTCCCTAGTCCTGCCAGACCCAGGGGATTTTCCCCTAGCAAAGTCCTGTCTGATTTGAGCAGGTAGAATTAGTTTGTCTTTTATCTTTTCCTTTTATTTTTCTTTGTATGATTGACATGTTTTCTTTTTTAGGTAGGGTGGGGGAACCATGGCTTTATTAAATTTATTGAGGTGGCATTGGTCAACATGAACATACAGGTTTCAGGTGTGGGTTTCCATGTTGTAAGATCTGTATGTTTACAGGTCTTTTTTAAGAAAATTAACACACACACACCAGTATAGATTTCTCTGAGGCAGAAGCTAGCTATTTCATGTTCCTTTTTTGCCCGGTACCAAGTTTAGTGCTGGCATGAGTGAATAAGATGCTTGGTGTTCTCGCTGCCAAGTGCTAATGGTGAACTTGCCAGCCTATCAGACCAGCAAGCCTGATCAGGTTACAGTCATCTCTGCTCCCTTTTACCAAAGCCCAGAGAGCTCATTGTGTGAAATGCACTTTGTGTCCCTAGGCATCCATTTCCCAAATTGTTAATCTCATGTTTTCTGTCTCCACCTGGGCAGGTTCTTTGGACTATAAAGAAGAAAGTGTTCTCTACTCCAACCGAGCAGCATGCCACTTGAAGGATGGGAACTGCAGAGATTGCATCAAAGATTGCACTTCGTAAGCAGTCAAAGGAAACTTTGGGGTGCCTGAGGGGCTCAGAAGAGGAAGCGGGGTTTATCTGGCCTGTTTCTTCTTTGACTGATCCCGCCAGTTAATCTGTGATAGATACTAGGAAGTGTCACTGTCCCCAGGTCACTGAGAATATTTGATCTCTGTGGCCCTGTCTTGTATCTTTGAAATCTTGGCTCTGCTGCTCTAAAAGGAGTAGGGTGGGCACTTAGAGGTGGGCCTTTGTGAGATTTGGGATCTGGAGTTGAGGTAGAGTTGTAGACTAGTTAGTGGCTTGCCCAGGTTTATTCTGGGATGGATATATGTGAGAGAGGAAGATAGAGATAGAGAGAGGTTAATAGATAGCTGGGAAAGAAGCAAGAAGAAAGGAGGAAATGGTATTCATCAATGACCAGGTGTAGAGGACATTAAACAATTTTTCATACTTCTTTCTTCTTCAGGCAAGTCTGGTGTTGCCTCTTTCACCATCGCTAAACTAGGATGCATACCTTAATGTGTTCTTAGATCTGATATCCTGTGACATTGCCTTAGATCCATGCCCTGGTGATAGATAGAGAGGTGAGCGTGCTCATGTAGCCTGTGCTAAGTTGATGAGTATCAGGTCCTGTGCTGTTTCCTTCTTGGAGCACTTATGGTTATTCTGTGGGTTAAATTTACCATCCTTCCCAGGCTGGAACTGGGCTGCAGAGAATTGAGGTGGTAAAGTGATTTGCCCGGGATCACATGGTTAATGGTCGAGGTAGAATTCAAACACCACTCCATCTGACTCCAAAGCCTCTGTGGTGTTCCCATCAGGCCACCATTCTTTGGAAACACATAGAAGCATGAAAGGTACAAAGTACTTGTTCTTGATTTTGGGGGGATTGCAACTATGAAAATTGATGCACGTGCATACAACTTGCACAGTATTAGTGGCACTCTGCTCTCTTTCCTTTCTCTACTTCAGTCTAAGTTGAAAAGTCCCTCTTGTAAGGTTTGACATTTTTAGTAGTGTCTCTGTGCCAGAAATGACCCCCTATATTACAGAATACTGTAGCTGAGCCTGCCTGGGCGGGCTGTGGGGGGAGCCCTGGTGACTTAGCGCCAGATGACATCTCTGCCTCCTGCTCTAGAGCACTGGCCTTGGTTCCCTTCAGCATGAAGCCCTTGCTGCGGCGAGCATCGGCCTATGAGGCTCTGGAGAAGTATCCCCTGGCCTACGTGGACTACAAGACTGTACTGCAGATTGATGACAGCGTGATGTCAGCCTTGGAAGGCGTCAACAGGTGAGCCTGGGTCACCTCGGGCATTCCCTCTGGAACTGCCTGCCCTCTGTCATTAGCTTGGAACTATCACTTTGCTCATCTTACAGGATCCCTTTGGGATAGGCTTAGAAATTCCTAATGACCTTATTGGGAAGTGTGGAAGGAGAATTTGCTATCATATTTGGTAGGTGTTAAGGAGTCAGGATTGATGAATTGGATTTTGTTTTGTTTGTTTTTGCCTAGGTGCTTAAATTCATTCACATAGTAGTAATTTGTTGAGCTCTGTTGAAGGTGTTGTGCCAGGTTCCGTAGGAAAAAGAGCTACAAACACCACTTGCTTCAGAGAGCTAACTAGAGTGGGGAAAGTAAGACCCAAGCACAGGCAGCTCAGACACAAGGCTATAGGGATATTGCTTGTGGATATGGTTCAATATATTGTACTACGGCCCCTTCACAAGGCCCCTCAGCCATTGACATTTCATGGATGTCCTCATTGGTGTGACTGATCACATTGCCCTTCTTTGCATGGGCTGCTAGAAACCCAGATACCACACTCATAGAAAACCCTTGTTAGGACTTCATGGTGTATATCTGTGTGTCATTTCTGGCTTGACTTGTTTTCTCTCTACCTTTTCTTGTTTCTATCATTCAACAAATTCTGCCAGACTTTGCACTAGGGCCTGGGCTGATGCCCAAGACATACCTCTTCCTGCCCTGTTAGAGCTCCTGGTCTCATGGAGAAAACCTATCAGTAATAGGCAGGCGCACCACAAGGGATGAGGCAGCACAGGTGCAGTAGGGGCAGAAATGAGGCACCTAGCCAGCCAGGGGGAGGCCAGAGTGGGTTTCCAGAGGAGGTGAGCCGAGGCAGAGATGAGTAGAGCTCTGGGGCCAAAGGCCAGCAAGGAGAAAGGGCAGCCTGTGCAAGAGTGAGTGAGCCCTAGCCGGTTTGGCTCAGTGGATAGAGCATCGGCCTGCGGACAGAAGGGTCCCAGGTTTGATTCCAGTCAAGGGCACATGCCTGGGTTGCGGGCTCCATCCCCAGTAGGGGGTGTGCGTGAGGCAGCCGATCGATGATTCTCTCTCATCATTGATGTTTCTCTCTTTCCCTCTTCTTTCCTCTCTGAAATCAATAAAAATATATATTAAAAAAAAAAAAAAGAGTGAGTGAGTCTGATGTCTTACAGAACCCGTGAGAAGTCCATTTCATATGGAGCTTCATGGATGGGTGATGAGGCCAGATCACAAAGAGCTTGGTGTTCAGGAGCTTGGACTTAACCCCCCGAACACAGTGAGGCATCGTGAAAGGGCCTTAAGCAGGGGAGCAAAATGAGCAGATTTGAGAGAGAAGCTCACTGGCTGTCATGTGGAAGGGTTACATGGAAGAACAGACTGGGAAGGGGGCATGCACTAATGCAGAAGAGATGGTGGAGACAGTGGATAGAGAGCAGTGGGACCATTCAGAGGACATTTAGGGAGTATTTCACCAAGTTTTGGTGGTTGGGGTGGTGAGAAGGGAAAAATAGAAGAGACGCTAGGGGGTTGACAAGTTGAGTTGGAGATGACTGTGGGACATGAGACTAGAGAGGTAAGGAAGGCAGTGGGTGTTTATATGGATTTGGAGCAAAGGAGAAAAATACCACACATACAGGTTTGAGGGTTATCAGTTATCACCTCAAATCAGAGGTGAATTGAGGTTGTCAGGGAAAAGAACACAGCACGTATGTAGGAAGAAGAGGTTGGAGCTTTGAGAAATTCTTGCATTCAGGGACTTACAGAAGAATAGCAGCTGGAGCAGTAGGAGGAAACTTGAAGCATTAAGTGTCACAAGGGAAGGAGTATTTCCAGAGGATGAAGCTGTCACTTGTGTCAGGTGTTGCAGTGAGCTTAAGTAGACGAAGGGTTGAGGAATGAAGTCACTGGTGATTCTGGTAGAAGTGTTTCAAAGGGATCAGATGGCAGTGGGTTCAAGAAGTCTGGCTGTGAGGCGGCAGAGGAGTGTAGCTGCAATGGCAGAGGGTTGTCCAGGGGGGTCGTATTAAGTGAGGAAAGAGTTAAATGCTGGTAGTTGGAGTCAGCAGGAAGAAACATGAAGATACAGAAGAGGGAGATGCTGGCTGAGTGTGGCAGGAAGAAATGGGGTCCAGAGCTTAGGTGGAGGGATTGGCCTTGTCAGCTCTTCTGTTGTGACAAGAGAGACATAGGAAGGTTGGGTACCTGGGCAGGTATGTTTGTATTTGGAGGGGGAGGGTTAGGGAGCAGAGTGGAAGAGATGAGAGGATTAAAATAGCTGCTGAACATAAAAATAGTTTTGGGGGCTTAGAGTCCATGAATTTGCAGTGATATCATTGTATTGTTTTCATCCTAGTATTACGGGAATGTGGTTGTAAAAGCAGAAAAGGCATACAGTTGGCTTTATTCACTCATTGAGCACATACTTACTAAATCTTGATGGGTGCCAGGTAATGATGTGCTAGGTGCTATAGTACAGTTGACAAATTGGACATGGTCACTGAGCAGCATTTTGAGCAAGTTAACTGGCCTAGAAGGTGGGTACGGGGACTGGGAAGTGGAAGAGATTGTTCCAGGAAGAGGACAGCCGTGTGCAGAAGCTTAAACATAAGGATCAAGAGGGAATGTGGCGCCCTAGTTGGTTTGGCTCAGTGGATAGAGCCTTGGCCTGTGGACTGAAGGGTCCCAGGTTCAATTCCCTTCAAGGGCACATGCCCAGGTCGATGCCCAGTAGGGGGCGTACAGGAGACAGCCAATCAATGATTCTCTCTCATCATTGATGTTTCTCTCCCACTCCCTTCCTCTCTAAAATCAATAAAAAAATATTTTTTGTTTTTTTTTAAAGAGGGAATGTGGCAACTGATAAAGAGGGAGAGGTGGGAGGGGACCAGATATCAGGCCCTAGGGCAGCGGTTCTCAACCTGTGGGTCGCGACCCCTTTGGCGGTTGAACGACCCTTTCACAGGGGTCGCCTAAGACCATCCTGCATATCAGATATTTACATTACGATTCATAACAGTAGCAACATTACAGTTATGAAGTAGCAATGAAAATAATTTTATGGTTGGGTCACAACATGAGGAACTGTATTTAAAGGGCCAGAAGGTTGAGAACCACTACCCTAGGGCAGTGGTCAGCAAACTGCAGCTGGCGAGCCACATGCGGCTCTTTGGCCTCTTGAGTGTGGCTCTTCCACAAAATACGTGCGGGCGTGCACGTACAGTGCGATTGAAACTTCATGGCCCATGCGCAGAAGTCGGTATTTTGTGGAAGAGCCACACTCAAGGGGCCAAAGAGCCGCATGTGGCTCACGAGCCACAGTTTGCCGACCACTGCCCTAGGGAAATGAAAAAGACAGAAGGATTTTAAAATTTGAGAATGACATAAGATTTTCATTTTAAAAAATCTCTGAGCATAAATCCAAAATCAGGTGCTTGTATCACTTTATAATCTGTTAAAAATATAAAACATGCTCCTTCCCTAGGGAATGTGTGGTGCTTTTGGGTTAAGGTATGTTTAAGTACCCTTACCAGGCAACAAAAGGTCACCACTTTGGTCTGACCAAACGAGGGCCACACAGGGAGGGAACGTCATGGTGGCTAAACCGAGACGACTTTTGTGGGTGGCACTCATGTTCCTCTCCTGCTGCATGTCAGGATATAAAGAGTTATCGAGGGAAGATGATAACTCTGACTCTCATACACCTCCTTTGGGTTTAGGAGAGGAGGAACATCTCCTAACCCAGCCGGAAACCTCCCTGTAATCCTGCCTTTGTTTCCAGAATGACCAGAGCTCTCATGGACTCACTTGGGCCGGAGTGGCGCCTGAAACTGCCCTCTATCCCTTTGGTGCCTGTTTCAGCTCAGAAGAGGTGGGATTCAGAATATCACAAAGAGACACCTAAAGGCAAATCCAAAGAAACCACAACTGCCAAGAGCAGAGGTAAGCTGTGACTTTCTGCTCAATTTTGCAATTTTCCTGTAGCCACTTTCTTTAGAGTAATCCTATAAAAATTGGCCTTGTTTAAGCTGAGTTATAAAAATAATATTAAAACAAAAAAGTATTAACCACTTAGAGGCTGTCTCAACTCTTCAAGGAGGGTTGTGAGAAAACCTCTCCCATTGCAGGGATTAAGTGATATAAGGCATGTTGAGCTCCTAGCCTGGCACATAGGTATACAGCGTTGGTTCCCTTCTCTCTTCTGGCAGCATTTGGGATCTATCATATTGGATGCTTTGGTTACAAGAACAGAAAACGTGCCATGGTAACAATAACAGATTTTACTGGCTCATATAATTGAAAAATCCAGAGTTCAGGTTCAGGCAAGGTTCGCCCAGCAGCTCACTACATTATCGGGCTCTGATTCCATTTCTCTGTACTTCTCTCAACTTTCTTCTTTGGTCTAGTCAGGTTTGTCTTCGGATGGGCTTCCCTCTTCGCAATAAAATAGCTATGACAGTTCCTGGTCTCACATCCTTATACCACACCTCACCACCCAGAGGGAGAGAAAAACTTTTTTTCTGAGAGAGTTTCTTTCCCCCCAAATCTCTAACTCACATTTTCTCTGTTTATTCCAGCCTGTTTGGTACAGGCCATTCCCTGAACTAGTCACTGTGACTGAGGGCTGAGATTTTGTGGTGAGCTCAGCCCTAAGCCATCTGCCCCACCTCCACAGCTAGAGGGCTCTGCTTCCCCAGGAACCTGAGCACTGTGTGAGTCTCTGGGGAGAAGAAATAAGAGGAGGGAGGTCAAAGGCAGGTAGCCCTGCACGGGAGAGTGTCCACCTCGACTGTAAATGAAGAGGCCTTTCGTCAGGTGGGGCTCACGGGCGCTCTGGTAATGCTCCATGGGAATCATCCCAGCCCAGCAGCTTGGTGTTGAGGAGAAGCAGTGCAGAAGGGGTCAGGCTGGAGCCTTGCGTGGATGGTAGCAGTTGTCCCCTTCCAGGAGGAAACCTATGTGGCCATAGGCAGCATTTGGTCTGTTTTGTGGGAGCCTGTTAACTGTTCCCCACTCTTCCCTAGGATGAAAATGTGGGGTGCCAGTGAACTAGATGGCTTCAGTGCACCTACCATTTGTTTCATTCTTTCAGAGTCACTGAGCCATGTGTGTCCCAGGCCCTGTGCTAAGCAGTGTGACACAGGATGGGCAGCATTGGCCCTCAGAAGCTCTCAGTTTAATGAGAGACTGAGACAGCATTTTAAAATATAAGAGTAAGAACAAGTGCTTAAGAGTCCTTAATATTCGGGGAGTTAAAAATCGGAATTGACGTGTGTTTGGAGGAGGGTCGGGAAAAGGCTCACAGAGGAGGTGGCAGTGGGAGGTGACAGGTTGAGCAAGGCCTTAAAGGGTGAGTTCTTCAGGTGGGAAAGGGAGAAGGGACAGGAATTCTTGGCAGAGACAGTGGAGAGTTAGAGAGGAATGCATGCGGTGTAACTGTGAACAGCGGGAGTAAGTAAGACTATAGCATGTAGTGTGTTGCAGAGCTGGGAGAAAGCTGAAGCTGTGTGTACATTGCAACCTACAGGCTCTACTTTTAGAGAAACTCAAGCACATATGCACAAGGAGACATGTTCAAGAATGTTCACAGCAGAATGTTTGTAATAGCGAAAAACAAAACTGGAAATAACACAGGTCTCCATAAATAGGAAAATGGAAAACCAATTGTATTGCAACAGTGAGAATGGATAAACTACTATAGGTATATGCATCAGCACAGATCAATCTCAAGAATATAATTTTGGCCCTAACAGTTTGGCTCAGTGGATAGAGCGTCGGCCTGCGGACTGAAAGGTCCCAGGTTCGATTCCGGTCAAGGGCATATACCTTGGTTGCGGGCACATCCCCAGTAGGAGGTGTGTAGGACGCAGCTGATCGATATTTCTCTCTCATCGATGTTTCTAACTCTCTATCCCTCTCCCTTCCTCTCTGTAAAAAAAAGTCAATGAAATATATTTTTTTTAAAAAGAATATAATTTTGAAAAGGGGAAAAAGAAAACAAGGTTATAGAAGAATACATACAATTATTTGTTCCTTTACATAAATTCAAAAACAAACAACAAATAGTTTATAAATACTATTGTATATAGTAAACTACCAAAAACTAAAAAAGGGAAGGACGCACAGAAGTGGGGATAATGGTTTCCTCCAGGGGTGGATTGACTTAAGGAAGGGCCCATAGGGCTTCAAAGGTCCCCATAAATGCTGTTTCTTAATTAAGGTGAGGGTATTGGTTTTACTCCCAAAACGTTACCCTTGTCATATATATTATTTTATAAAGATAGTTTTTAAAAATTAAAAAAGCAGGTGATATAGTAGTTGGGGCTGGAACAGTTAATTCAGGCCTGGAGGCCAGGCTGAGCAGCATGGGTTTCACTTTCTCCTATTTCTCCTTGAAAGCTGGGGCAGATGTTAGGTGAGGCTCAGACCAAAACAATGAGGAATAGCACTCCTCTTCCTCTTTCTGAAAGCCTGGGAGCTACACCCTTTCTTTACCAGATGCTTGTTTAAATTTTTAATTATTCTCCTGCTTTAAGTTCATAGGGGGTTCTGCACTTTCTCGTGTAGTCTCAGATTTCCTCCTGACAGTAGTCCTGTGTAGAGTAGGTGTTGCCCCCATTGTATTGCTGAGGAAATTTAGATCCGACAGAGATGGTAGGTCACACAAGATCTTCCAGCTGCCAAGTGGCAGTGCCAAGGCTTAAACCCAAGGTGCTTTTTATCATGTTATCATGTGCATGTATAAGTATGTTTATATCAGGAGTCCTCAACCTTTTCTGAATGAAAAACTGTTTAATTTCCCAGAAGCCATTGATGGGGGGAATCACTCTCAGGAAGGACGCTTTACAACAGCATAGGAAACCTCTGGGAGGGTTGTGGACGACTTAGAAGAGACGATGCCGAAGAGACCTCACTGATCTCAGTCTGGCACCTGCTCCATGGTTTTTTCCTCTTCTGAATTTGTACCTAGTGCCTTCTGGGGATGTGGAGAGAGCCAGAGTTCTGAAGGAAGAAGGCAATGAGCTTGTAAAGAAGGGAAACCATAAGAAAGCTATTGAGAAGTACAGTGAAAGCCTCTCGTATAGTAACCTGGAGTCCACCACGTACAGCAACAGGTACCTTCCCCGCAGCTGCTGGCCTGGGGGATTTCAGGACATTGGCTATTCCGTTCCATAATCTTCTCTTGGACTGTGGGGGGGCTCTTCCCTAGCATTTAGTCAGTATGTCACAGCTCAGAAGATGCATTCACACTCACACTCACCATGAGGCAGGCACTGTCAGTGGCATTCACTCTCTTGAAAGGATAGAAACTGAGCGATGCCAAAGGGGAACCTGGGCTTTGTTAACCTCCCTCCCCAGGATTTTCATTTACGATGTCTTGCTACACAGACACAACCTCAACGCTAGTCTTGTAGCCTTTCCACCTTCCCTGCTCCCACCTCATGGCTTCTCCAAAGCCCTCCTATTAGAAACTTTGGCCCTGAGAGCACAAGGCAGAACCCAGGATATGGAGTAATTATCTCCTGGCCTGGGAGTGAGAGACAGGTCCAGGCTAACCTGAGGGGTGAGACTCCCGGTGCTGAAGAAGACCCTGCAACTGTACCACATGTTACTCTTCAGTTCAAAGATCTTGGATCTACTATAGGCTCACCCTTCCTTATCCAAATCTGTGTTTCAGATTTAGTAAGGTAATGTGGTCCATATACTGAATCACGTACCATTTAGGGTCAGGGGCAGCTTGTGAAGTTAATTGTTAGCATTTCTGCAGTGAAACATAAGGAAATTCCACATTCACATGTGGTGGTATAAAGAAAGACTAGACTTACCCTAACCGGTTTGGCTCAGTGGATAGAGCATCGGCCTGAGGACCAAAGTGTCCCGGGTTCAATTCCAGTCAAGGGCATGTACCTTGGCTGCAGGCTCCTCCCCGGCCCAGGCCCTGGTCGGGGCTTGTGCAGGAATCAACTAATAGATGTGTTTCTCTGTCTTTCCCTCTTTCTTCCACTCTCTCTAAAAGATCAATGGAAAAAATATCCTCGGGTGAGGATTAACAAAAAAAGAAAGACTAGCCTCATGTAGGTTCAGGTCAGGGTTTACTGCCTAATGAATTGAAAAGAGAACTTTCAAACTGAAAGCTTAAATTTTGGACCTGTGGTTTTTCTGGCTGATTGGAACAGGGGTGTCTCAGTCCACCAGGCTAACTTGAAAAAGAGGGCTGCAGCATCTCCTAACTCCTCTTTCTCTGGCCTTGCTCACCTCATGTTGCTGGAGACCTCTAGCAACCCATTTTCATGCACATGTGTCTGTGTCACAGTTTTAATTACTGTTGCTTTGTAATATCTTGTAGGCTGGTCTTTTCCTCATCCTTCTCAATCCGAGCAGCCCTGGCTATTTTCCCAGATTTGTTCTTCTAGCTAAACCATAGGATCATTTTGACAAATTCCCAAGAGTATCTTGTGTTTTTGTTTGGGATTACATTTAATCTATCGACTTAACTTAGAGGACTGATAACTATACAAAATTGAATTTTCCATCCATTGTGACTGAAATTATACCACATCCTGGACATCATTTCAATACCCCACCTCATGCATATGCCCTGTGTGCATCACCTTGAGTTCTCTTTGGCTCACTTCAGTTCTCTTGGCACAGTTGATACCTAAGTGGATATCGCCACTCAGGTACCTGGCCCCTACCGCTGGCCAACCCCTGCATGGACCTCCAGAGACTCATTTTCTCCTCACAACAATTCTTCAGCTTAGGTCGTGGTCCCATTTTATCTGAGAAAACAGGTTTGGAAAGATGCATTAACAAACACAAAGTTAAACAACTCATACGTGGTAGAGTTGTGACTGAAGCCAGGTCTTTGTAACTCCAAAGCTTGGGTTCCTTTTCACTCACTCATGTTAACTTCAAGACTGCTTTGTAATGGGGGGAAAAAATTAGGTATACCCAACTAAGTGACTACTTTGTACCCATTCAAAACGATGAGGTGGAATGGATGGACTTCCATACTGAGCTCCAAGACATCCGTTTTCAGTGACTGTCTTTGGAGAAAAGGACTAGAATTGAGTGAGAAAGATAAACACACTTTCCCCCATAGGTGCAGAGTGGCTTGGATGGATGCACATGACTTTTTCCCAACATTTTATTTTGAACATTTTCAAAATATCAGTTGATAGATTTTTCATTGAACACCCATATTCCTGTCATCTAAATTAACATTTTGTTATATTTGCTTTATCACTATTTAGCCATCTACTAATCCATGTTATTTTTGATGCATTTCAAAGTTGCAGACACCTTTCTATCTCGCCCCTAACACATCAGCATACGTATCATTAATTAAAACCCAGTATTTTTGTTTTAAGGCAGGTAACTTTTTAGTCTGTCAGGGGGAAGGTTTCGGGAACCCTTTTCTTTGCTTAAAAGAGCACAGTATGGGAATGTGAGGTAGACAAAATGCTAGAGCTCAGTGAAGCCAGGGTCTGGAGGCCGGAGAACCCAGGCTGAGTCCCAGGTCTGCCCCTCAGTAATGGTAGAACCTTGAGCAAGGCGCTTCACCGCTGAGCCAGCGTTTTCACCTGTGGAAAGGGGCTGGGTTGGTGTGAGGATTGAAGAACATGTAAAGCAAGCAGCACAGAGGAGGTGTTCAGTGAATCAAGGTCACTCCTCAAACTACCTCTGGTCTGGGTGGCCCCTAGAGGTGACTGACACCTTGAAACCGTCTTCCCTGTCAGAGCGCTCTGCTATTTGGCCCTGAAGCAGTACAAGGAAGCGGTGAAGGACTGCACAGAAGCCCTCAAGCTGGATGGGAAGAACGTGAAGGCATTTTACAGACGGGCTCAAGCCTATAAGGCACTCAAGGTAAGAAGTCCTCATCAGCTAAGCTACGGGCACCCGTGCCTGTGGTGGAACTTCCCGATTGTGGTCGAGGTGAGTTGGTATCTGCTACATCCCTTCTTATCCGGGGGCCCAGGCAGCTCCTGTCAGACCTGTGTGCTGGGGTTTGAAAAGCCTCTCTGTCTGAGCAGCTGTCTTATCCCCCCTCCCCCGCCCCCTTGATCTCACCTCAGTCATGGCGCCATCCCCACACCCTTCCTTCTCTCTTTTATTAGGACTATAAATCCAGCTTTGCAGACATCAACAGTCTCCTGAAAATTGAGCCTAAGAATGTCCCTGCACAGAAGTTGCAGCAGGAAGTTAACCAGAAGTTAAACTAAAATCCCAAAAGGGCAGCAGGAAAACCTCCACTGGATGACTTCCTCTGTGTCCGCTTCTGGGACCCAGCATGCCCCCAAATGAGCTCTGAAGCACCCTCCCTCTGCCCTACAAAGCAGTAGTAGCCTCCGACCCCTTAAGAGGCTTTGTTCAAATTAAGCTCAGTGTAGCAAAAACCAGACATTGTTTTGCTGGAAAGGTCCCCTGCTGTGCCGAACCCCTGTTCTCCATCCCCTGCCTGGACAGCTAGCGGATCACACAAACAGGTCCTCATCAGCAAACCACTGGGCCTGGCCCTGCCCCGAGCATGCTCCAGACTGAGGGCTGCCCTATGAGCGTCACCAGACCCACCTCACTGTGGCTCATGAGCAAACTCAGCTGGGGGTGTGGAAGGGGGGCCACAGGACTAGAAACACCTAAAGCAGCCTGTTGAGCTGGTTCTCCAGGGCTGCCAGCCTGCCCTGTCCTTGACATAGTCCTCTGTGTTCTGAGTTCCAGCCCTTTTTGGCCAGGCCCCACTTTGGTAGGGATGCAGAACCCTGACCCTTGGGTGGCTGTCTGGGGCTCTGTGCTTCTGCTTGCATGGAGGTGCCTAAGTTGTGTCAGGAGCCCAGAGGTGGCCACCCCTCCTAAAGGTGGATGGGAAGAAAGGCCTCCTTGAAGTCAGTGTCCTTCTGTTCTAGGGACTTTTGACCCCAACGGTGGCCCTCCAGGCTTCTTATTTCTTTGTTATACGAAGTTAATTTGAACTGAACTGACTCGGTTTTGTTGAACTGTACGTTTAAACGATTACATTAAACATTTTTCTTCTACAAAAATGTGTTGTACTTTCATTTATGCTTTTTCAGCTTTGTGCTGAAAATTTTGCAATAACAATAATAAAAGCTACCACTTTTCGATTAGCATTCAGCTAATCATTGAACAAATCATTCACTGAAATGTCTGCTTGGACCAGGCCCATATTGCTAGGGAAACCATGAATGAGTAGACACGGTCCCTGGTCTCAGAGGGCTGACAGTCTAGTGCAGCGGTTCTCAACCTGTGGTCACGACCCCTTTGGCGGTCGAACGACCCTTTCACAGGGGTCGCCTAAGACCATCCTGCATATCAGATATTTACATTACGATTCATAACAGTAGCAACATTACAGTTATGAAGTAGCAACGAAAATAATTTTATGGTTGGGTCACAACATGAGGAACTGTATTTAAAGGGCCAGGAGGTTGAGAACCACTAGTCTAGTGGGACAGTGAGAAATTAATCAGATGATCCCAGGAACAAGTGTAAAACTACAGCCAACTTACACATTTTAGAGAAGTCATTTCCCTGCCTGAAGGGAGATGGGACCTCAGGGAAAGGGATCCCTGGGGAAGTAAGTTTGAATTGAGTTCTAAGGTGGGAGTTTAGCTGGTGAAGAGGGGAGGGTAACGGTCCTCATTGGGAGCACAGAGACCAGACGGTGCCACTCCGGTTCACAAAGCACGGCCTGGATAGGAGGGTGGAGAGTGCTCCAGCAGCCAGCCAGAACTAGGCTGCCTCCCTTTCCTGGCCTGTGTCTTACTTAGTTCAATTGCCTTCCTCTTAATGGAGTAGCAGTTTGATGATTCCATAAAACAGAGCAGACAGAGGGTTTTCCTCATCCCTTCGCCCGTCACTCAGTGCTGAGCAGTGTTAGGACGCTGCTCCCAACCTCTGCAGGAGGCGTCTGCTGAGCAACCGGGCCTTCGAGCTGAAGCGGGTTTTAGAGTCCACCAATGCCATGACCAGGGGACCATTTCAAAGTGGGGAGCTGTACCCTCTTACTGCCCCCTCTTAAGCAGGCATGCCTCTTACCTGATTTGAGGCAGGTTTAGTGGTGACATCCAGTCATGACTGACTGACTTTCTCTTCTTGAGGTCTAGAAGGCAAGTATCTGGATTTACTAATGAAAACATAGAAGCTGAGACCATTACAACCTCAAGAAGCTTTTCCCGCCCTACAGGGGAGGAAAATGGTGACCAGAGGAGGAAAATGGTGACCAGAAGGTAGCCTAAGGCATTTCCACAAGGGTTCTCTATGTTACACAATCCCTTGGTCCAGAGCCTAGAAGCAGTTGCTGCTTTCAGGGTGTTTCCCTGCACTGCAGGTATTCAAGCCAGGCATCCAGGTGTGGGCACCTGTAGCTTTAACTTCTCAGTGCTGCGTGATGACAACCAATTATCCATCCACTGCACATTGGTGGGTGGTAGCTGCTGCCCCATGCCCAGCAGTTCCGTGCAGCTGTCCACACCCTCTGTGTACTTCCGCACTCGTCCCGGTTTCTGTTCCTTGCAACCAAAGCCCCAGCCCAATCAAGCCTCCCCTTTGCTCTGCCCCACCTCCCTCACCCAAGAAGGCCTCCTGGGAGACAAACCAGTTTGCAGCACTTTTAATGCACAAAGCAATGGCAATGGGGCGGGGAGGGGGAGTAGTGGATTGGGGAAGGTGTAGCAGGGTATTTTGGGGATAAATGGTGATGGACAGAGACTTGGGGTGGTGAACAGATGATGTGCTGTAGAATTGTGCCCCTGAAACCTCTATAACTTTGTTAACCAGTGTCACCCCAATAAATTAAAAAAAAAAAAAGGTAATGGGCTGGCGGGGTGACCAGCCTTCGTTCCACATACAGAGCTCAGGTACAGATACAGCCCAACTAGGAAATAAGTTATGGTTCACAGGGCCTTAGAGCCAAGAGCAGGAACGCTGTTCTCTTGTCAGCCAAGGGAGTGAGGATTCCATTTTTCTGAGGACGAAAAGGTAAAATTAAATGTTTCTCAAGTATGGCAGACACCTGGTCTTCGACTAAGAACGGGGGCTATACCAAGCCAGGCCTTCAGGCAGGCAGAATGGAGCCAGGCAGTGCCAGGGGAAGCCAGGCCTATTATGAGTAAGGCGAGGCGGGGCAGCTAGCTCGAGAACACCTCCTCCCCTTTGATAGTCCACACCCATTCCAGTCACACGGCTTGTCCTCTCCTTTGATCCTCACAGCTTCCCCCTGAGACAGCAGTGTCACAATGTGGTTCTCAGGGACTTTGTGAAAGCCAGCCGGTCCCTGCCCAGTTCCCTAGTGCTTCTGGGCTCAGCTACGTCTGTCACCATTCCTCGCAACCCCACCCACCCACCTGGTTTCAGTTACATTCACTTTCATCTGCTCTTCCTCCACGGTCTGGTGAGCCTGTATGAAGCACTGCCAAAGCCTCCTCCACCTGTGGACAGTGGGAGGGACTTGGTGCAGCTGCCCTAGCAGGGTCCCAGGAGAGCCCTGACCTCCCCAGGTCCCTCCCTCCCCAGCATCTCTGCAGAGCCCTCATCTGACTGCTGCTTGCCAGCTCCCAGGACAGAAACCCACAGTCACCTTCTCAAGACAGATGTACACTGCTGGACAGCTGGGGAAATCGTGACCCAGAACACAGCTCCTTGTGCCAAAACCTTGCCTATGGAGCTGCAGAGAATCATCTATGATTCTAACCCACTCAGATTCCGCAGGTGTTAGCAAGAGGATAAACCTCATCTGTCCAAGCAGCAGCCTGCTGGCTCATCTAGCAGACACCTTAGCTCTCCTCCTGCCCTCAGGGCTCTCTGCCACCCAGGCCCCAGCCCACCTTGGCATTGAGGGACTCTGGAGACTCCAGCATGAACAGCAGTTCTGAGTTGTCGATCTCCAGCAGCATGCCTGTGATCTTGCCCGCCAGCTGGGTGTGGACATTGTAGATAAGGGGGTAGAGACGCTCACCTGAATGGAACAGCCTCTGATGGCTTATGAACACACACCTGGCTGATATCCCAGCATCCCAGGGGCGGTATTGTGGAATGGAGCAGTGAGGCATCTGGGTGGCTGTCCCCGAACTGCTCCTTCCAGACAGTCCTCTTACTTAACCTGGTGAGCAGCAGCCTCTTTCCCAAATGAAGTGGGCATAGCAAACCCACTTTGGAGGTCAGTCTGTAGCATCATATTCGATGCTAGATATAAAGTAGTTGCATGGGGTCTGATACAAAGGTGGTTGCACTTTAAAGACTACTCTTGTTCATTTTGCAGGAAATAGTTCCAAGTATACACACTAAGATTCTAGACAGGATATGATAATGTTGAACCTGACTTTTTTTTTGGGGGGGGGGGGGCAAATACACCAGATAAATTCACCTTCCACCATCAGGTACTTCTAGTGACAGGGCCTAGTGGTGGTGGTCAGCCCATTTTGGCAATATGTGGAGGGTCTAGCCAGGCTGGGGTGCTGGGGTGCCTTGAGTGCGAATGGGAGAGATCTTCCCATGATGAAAGCGAAGATGTCTACAAGGAACAGCTAACAGAGCCTTCTGCCTCCATTAAGTCCCCTGAGACTTTTTCTTGGAGGTATAGGTAATAAAGTGGCAAAATGCCAAGCGAGCTGAGGAAACAATGGGGTGGTGGCAGTGGGGGCCTACAGAGAAGGGTTAGGAGATCTTGGTGGACTTGAAGAAAAGAACCTGCCAACCACTAGCAAGCTTGTTCATTCATTCAACAGTTAGTGGCACCCTTGAGGAGGGCCTGTCACAGACACGGGATGAATTGCACAGGAAGTCAGGATCCAGTGGGGAAGACAGGGTCCAGTGGTCCATTTTCCCAATGCACATTTATTTACCACCTCCTGTAATGGGCGCCACTGGGCAAGCTGATGAAATCTGGCAACAACTTCTTCCCAGTCAGGGGAGGCGTGAGGAACTGCAACACCCACCTTAGGGGCCATGTCCTAGCAGAAACCCAAATCTGACCCCTGATCTCCCCACATCTGGGGTCTCTCCTAGCCTAAGTCAAAGTCAAGTACAGCAAAGCTGAAGAAACCCCAGGAACATCGCACTTGACCAGTATTTTAAGATGAGAGAACGGGGCCTGGATTACAGACCCAACTCGGGCAAGGTCACCCAGCAGGTTGGTCAGCGACAAAGCTAGATGCTGTCCTCATGTCTGACCTCCACTCGGTGTTCCCCACCAGGCTAGCCAGATCCCAGCCCCCCTCCTCTGCTCCAGAGCAGGGGAACCAGCCACTCACCTATCATCTGCTTTTGCTTGTGCAGTGGTGCTGCGGCCAGCATGGACACGGTCAGGGGTTCCTGTCCGGGGATGCACACCGCAGGCTCCTGGACCTGCACATGGTGCCGGGGACACATCCCTTAACCACCACGGACGGTCAAGGCCTCAAAATATTTAACCCTGTCAGGTGAGCACAGGCCTCCAGGAAGGCTCTGGAAGAGGGGAGCAGGGGCAAGGCATGGACAATTGGGTGGGACAGAGTCCCCAACAAGGGCATGGTGGACTGGACGACAACGTTACACTCTGACGCAGATGTTTTCCACTGCGCTAGGAACCTCTACAGGCCCCTGGTCCATGTTGCCAAACGAAGCCACACCTTACTAATCACTTTGTGCCAAACAAAAGAACTTTGGATCCAGTAGCTTTTATGGCCGTATTTCCACCATACTTCTGACCTTTCACATCTTGACCACATTAAAAGCATTTGCTCTTTAAAGACTACTCTTGTTCCCTTTGCAAGAAACAGTTCAAAGCATACACAGTGAAATTCTAGATAGGAGAAGAAAATGCTGAGTTTGAGACTTTTGGGGGGGGGGGGTACAGGGAGATAAATATACAGCCTTTAAACTTATAATGACAGGAGATATTTTCAGTTCTGTTTTGATTAATCACATCCTTGCTGCTCAACACATAAGTACTAGGGAAATCCAAATTAATTTTGGTAATAACCCAGGCAAAGCAAATCATAACTAATAAAATGTGGTCCTGGCCCTTTCCCTCCTGTTAATAAGGGTAACCACTTTTTGATTGTACATTGTTAATAAACGAAACTTTATAAGCCAAGAAAAGGTCCAGAGAGGTTCAATGTCTTAGCCAAGGTTCTAGCCAGCCCGCCCCCCCACCCCCCGCCCCGGAGCCCAGATTCAGAGGGCAGCTGGGTCAGCCTTACCTCATGGGTGTTGGGCGTCTCCAAGGAATATCTCTGTGTCAGGAGAGGCCCACTTGGCATAGAGCATCCTGCCTCACCAAGGCCAGAGGTCTGGGTACCAATGTTGGCTGTAAGAAATAAGCAGGGACGTTAGGGCCTGGCAGCAACCTGCAGCGATAAGGCCTAAAGACGAGCATTCATGTAGAACCCCAGCACACAGACGCACAAACATCTGCCACAGGTGCTTGCCTATAGTCAAAATCTGTGCCCTTGTTCATAGCTGTTGCTGTGAACCTACTAAGTTCAGATCCGGTGCTAAGCCCCTGCACTTAGGATCTCATTCACTCACACAACAAAAGGGGAAAACTGTCTTCATCCCCATTTTAAAGATGAGGCAACCGATAATAGTAGTTAGCAAGGCCACAGAGTACGTGAACCCCAGGAACTGGGCCTGCACGACTCTGGAGTCCACACTCACTACTGTGCTATACAGCCTCAAAGTCAGCCCTGCTCTCCGAGGGTGAAGGGCAAGGTCACCGTGGAGGCTGGTTCCAACCCCCACTAGTGCCAACCCAGCACCAAGCTCCTGCCCCAGCCCCAGCCCCCCGCACACCCACTCCTCTGGCCCTGCCTACACTCACCCACTGTTTGGGTGTAGGACATCTGGGGTGGCTCCTGGGTAGAGGCCTTCTTGACACTGCTGATGTGGGTCGGGGAGTGCTGAGACGTGGCTGGTGACCAGGCCACTGAGGCAGCTGGAGAGTAGGTGGCTTGTGGTACTGAGAACATGGAAAGAGAAAGGTTGGCAGGAAGGGGGATTATTCATCAGAGAAGCACACCACCCCCTGACGGTGCCAGGGTGAGGAAGGGGAACCAGAACATTCACAGCAGAAAGATGAGTGAATTCGCCTGGTCAGGCAGACCCCAAACTCCAGGGAGGGGGTGTGGCAATTTCCTATTACAACTCAATTCCTGTCTCCCCAGAGCCCTCAGAGGCACAGGCGTCATGATCACACCCCTTCAGCCCCCTAGGCCAGCGGTTCTCAACCTGTGGGTCGCGACCCCTTTGGGGGTCGAACGACCCTTTCACAGGGGTCGCCTAAGACCATCGGAAAACACATATATAATTACATATTGTTTTTGTGATTAATCACTATGCTTTAATTATGTTCAATTTGTAACAATGAAAATACATCCTGCATATCAGATATTAAAATTAGTTATGAAGTAGCAACGAAAATAATTTTATGGTTGGGGGTCACCACAACATGAGGAACTGTATTAAAGGTTCGCGGCACTAGGAAGGTTGAGAACCACTACCCTAGGCAGTTTCAAATCAGGTGACCTTTACTCTTAGAGAAGGGCCATTCATCAGCAACACCGCCAAAGGAGTTTCATTTTCTCAGCTCCGCAAGAATTTTCAGCCACAAACCAGACTGTAGATAATGCGAACTGACGGAAGAGAATGCAAGCCTTTTACAGGCTCAGCACTGTGCTTGGTGCGCGTACACATATCTCATTCAGGCCCACATTCAGAAGAGGAAACTGAGGCTCAGAGAGGAAGTTACTCACCCCGATGAACACTTTAGGAAGTGACAGAGGCAGGCTTGACCCCCAAACTCGTGTTCTTTAACCACTATGTTACACACTACCCCATGGGTCCCACACTCATGGTTGGGAGGGGCTGGATCACTCACTCAAGGGTCTAGGTGGCTGGGCCGTCCACCTGGGGGCAGGCTGGACAGGTGGACCAGAGCCATAGCACGCAGCCTGGGCTGGAGGCTGTGTGGGAGAAGAAGACCCAGGTGAGGGGGCTGCAGCAGGGGAAGTGAGAAACTGCATCCCCCCAAGGATGTCACCGGAGGAACTCCACTGTCCCCCCAGGGGGCTGGTTAGCAAAGACCCACAAAGCTGGGATGAAGGCCTGCTTCCCATTTTGGGACGGCCATTATCCCTCAACTCTTTGGGGCAAGATCTCAGGTTCAATCCTCACTCCTCTTATCAGAGCCACTAGCCCAACGACCTGGATAAAATGGTGACATGTCCTGCGGAAACTTGTGCCGGCTTCAGCCGTTGCTAACAGGAGCAGGAATGTCCCCATTCTAGGAGCCTCTAGTGGCTAAAACCTTCTACTTCCTCTGGGTCACAGGAGCTCCTTTCCCAAACCAGGCCCCTCAGAGATGGTAGCAGGCACGCTGCAAAACGGCCACTTAAGTTGGGGGAGGGCTACCCACTCTGTTTGGGAAGTCAGAAGGGCATAGTAGGGAAAAACAATGCATGTGTAAAGAAACCTATGCTTCCTTTGTTTACTGCAGTAGTCCCCAAACTTAAATTTGACCAAAGAATCTTTTTAGCATAACATTCACAAATCTCTCTCCCACATGGAAGCTGTTTGACAGCGGCACTCTTAGACAAGGGTTTTCATCAGCCCTTTTAGAAATGGGGTGAAAACAACCTGCTGTTTCAGGCAGAAGCAGGCTGGGAACTATGTTTGCCTTGAAGCTTTCTTCCTGCCCCACCTGGCTGTCAGGTTGCAGGCAGGCCCTCACCTGGGGCACGGTGGGCAGGAAGTAGCTCACGGGCTGCTGGAAAGAGCCCAAGAGGGGGCCACCCAGGGCCCACACGTTGGAGAGGCGCTGCTGCATGAACTGGTTGGTCAAGATAGCCTTCCGCTCATCTTTGCGCTGAGCCAGCGCCACGTACAGCGGCTTGGTACCCAGGATGCACCCGTTCATCTCTGTCACGGCCTTGGTTGCCTCTTCTGGAGAGGAAAAACACACAAAGCCAAACCCTTTGCTGTGGCCACCCTCTGTCATCACCTAAAAGCAAGACAAGACAAGGGCTGCTGGGGGAGGGGAAGGAAGACTCCTAGGGCCGGTTCCCCTCCTCCCCTGGGGCCCAGCCTGGCCTGAGCAGGGCCAGCAGAAACTTACTATCGGGGTGTCCTATCACCCCCCCATTCACTGAGGCCCACCACATGCCAGATACTTGACACTCCTCACTTCACTATGACTCCCACTTTATAGGTGAGGAAAGCGGGGCTCAAGAGTGACAGATCCGAGACCAGTCTACTTGCTGACTGACAGCTACTCATAGTGCACAGACCATTCACAGAATTAGGGAGAAGAGCTGCATTTCAGAATATATTCCTCTCTCAATTTTCTTTCTGAAAGTTTTTCTTAGGCGGTGGTGGGAAGCTGGCTTAATTAAATGTATATACCGTCCTCAGAGGGGCTATCATGAAGTGAGATGATAGTCTAGGGCAGTGGTGGGCAAACTGCGGCCCCTTGAGTGTGGCTCTTCCACAAAATACCACGTGCAGGCGTGCACGTACAGTGCGATTGAAACTTCGTGGCCACACTGAAGGGGCCAAAGAGCCGCATGTGGCTCGTGAGCCGCGGTTTGCCGACCACGGGTCTAGGGTTAGCTAAGAATCTAAGACTAGGGCTGGTTCTTCAGCCAGGGCCACCATCTTAAACATTTCCATTGAGGTCACTATGATGAAAACAATCTGCATTTCGACCACTCCTTGGGTTTTCCTTCTTTCTTTCTTTTTTAAATATATTTTTATTGATTTCAGAGAGGAAGGGAGAAGGAGAAAGAGAGATAGAAACATCAATGATGAGAGAGAATCATTGATCAGCTGCCTCCTGCACACTCCCTACTGGGGATTGAACCCGCAACCCAGGCATGTGCCCTTGACCGGAATCAAACCCGGGACCTTCCAGTCTGCAGGCCGATGTTCTATCCACTGAGCAAAATTGGCTAGGGCTGGGTTTTCCTAACTACTCATACAACTTCATTTGTGAATTATGGACATCAAAAGGGTGCTCTTAACAGCTATATTTCCTAGAGACTTCAATAAAGAGAATTGTAAGGAACATGAAAATAATTTGAATTTCTACTTCTGGTGCTTTAACCTGTTAATTATCTTTTTAGTAGAAATAAAAGCCCTTTTTACCATTAAAAAAAAGAGAGAGTGACTTGTCCAGGGTCACCCAGCCAGTGGGTCACACATTCAGCCAATGTACCATCCGGTAAACCCCCATTGCCTCCACAAGGCCCTGAGCCAAGTTCTTTCAACATCTGGGGAAGAGGTTCTTAACCTTTTAACTAAAATAACTTTCTATTTTGAAATATATTTATATTTATAGAAAAGTCTCAAAAATAGTACAGAGTTGCTGTAATTCTTTCACTGAGCTTGCCTCCCCAGGTTAACATGGTACATTCGTCAAAACTACCATAGTAACATTGGTACAATACTATCAACTACATTAGCTACAATGCTATTAACTGGACATTTCATTTGGATTTCACTAGTTTTACTGCTAATATTCTTTTCCTCTTCCAGGATCCAATCCACATTACATTTAGGGTTCTTAATCTTTTTTAGGGTCAAGACACTGGCCCTGCTCACCTACTCCATGAGCAACAGAATTGAGATAATTTTTTGAATCTGCTCTATTAGAGCCCATTCTCTACATCAGTGATTTTCCAACTGTACTTTGCTACCTGCCTTGACCTGAGAGTTCACAGATCCACAGGGAGGTCAATGGATGGGATTCAGGGGGTCTGTAAACTCGAATGGGGAAAAAATGGCATCTGTATTTTCATATTAGCCTTTCCTTCTATTTTGAATGTAAGAATAAAAAATGTGACTTTGGGGGGAAGAGAAAATATTTTCATATTCATTATTGCTGATCTCAAATATCTTTTATGCTAATTACTACTCCACTAGATCTTATAGTTTGATAGATTAATAAAGAAGCACATACTGCTGTCACCTTAGTATTTTGATAATTATTTCAATACAACTGTTTTTGTAACCCTATGAATTTTCCTTTATGCATTTAAAATTACTC